GTGGTATGATCTCGGCTCACTGTAACTTCTGTCTCCCAGATTTAAGCGATTCTCCTGCTTCAGCCTCCTGAGTAGCAGGGATTACAGGCGCCCGCCACCACATCCAGCTAATTTTTGTACTTTTAGTAGAGACGGGGTTTCACCATGTTGGTCAGGCTGGTCTTGACCTCCTAACCTCATGATCCGCCTGCCTCAGCCTCCCAAAGTGCTGGGATTACAGGCATGAGCCACCGCTCCCATCCGGAATACACTATTATTAACTATATTCACCATGTTGTGCAATAGATGTCAAAAAAAACCCTCACTTATTCCTACTATGACTTTGTATCCTTTGATCCTCATCTCCTCATTTTGCCTATCCCCCAGCCTCTTACCACCATTCTATTCTCTGCTGCTGAGTTCTGTTGTTTTAGTTTCAACAGTTAAGCAACAACATGCAGCATTTCTCTTTCTGTGCCTCCTTTACTATATTTAGTACTTAATTTAATGTTCTCCAGTTCTGTCCATGTTGTCACAAGTGACAGAATTTCCTTCTTTTTTAAGGCTGAATAATATTCCATTGTGTCATTGTGTATGTATATCACATTTTCTTTCCTTCTTTTTTTTTTTTTTTTGAGTTGGAGTCTCGTCCTGTCACCCAGGCTGTAGTGCAAAGGCGCGATCTCGGCTCACTGCAACCTCCACTTCCCTGGTTCAATCAGTTCTCCCTGCCTCAGCCTCCTGAGTAGCTGGGATTACAGACACCCACCACCATGCTCAGCTATTTTTGTATTTTTAGTAGAGACGGGGTTTCACCATGTTGACCAGGCTGGTCTCAAACTCCTGACCTTGGCCGGGCGCGGTGGCTCACGCCTGTAATCCCAGCACTTTGGGAGGCCGAGGCGGGCCGATCACAAGGTCAGGAGATCGAGACCACGGTGAAACCCCGTCTCTACTAAAAATACAAAAAAAAAATTAGCCGGGCGCGGTTGTGGGCGCCTGTAGTCCCAGCTACTCGGGAGGCTGAGGCAGGAGAATGGCGTGAACCCGGGAGGCGGAGCTTGCAGTGAGCCGAGATTGCGCCACTGCACTCCAGCCTGGGCGACAGAGCGAGACTCCGTCTCAAAAAAAAAAAAAAAAAAAAAAAAAAAAAAAAAAAAAAAAAAAAAAAAAAAAAAAAAACTCCTGACCTTATGATCTGCCTGCCTTGGCCTCCCAAAATGCTGGGATTATAGGCGTGAGCGACTGCGCCTGGCCAGTGTACCACATTTTCTTTACCCATTCATCTGTTGATGGATACTCATGTTGATTCTATAACTTGGCTGCTGTGAATGTTGCTGTAATGAACATGGGAGGGCAGACATCTATTAGACAAATTGATTTCCAGTCTTGTGGGTAAATACCCAGAAGTGGGATTGCTGGATTGTGTATCTGGTGCTTTAGCTGTGACTTGCCTCTGGGGTCTTTATGCCAATGACTGGTTCTGCAGGTTCCATTTTGGAAAGAATTTGTGCTAGTAACAGCACTTAAAGTTTATGGGTGGCTGGGCACCATGGCTCACACCTGTGATCCAAGCACTCTGGGAGGCCAAGGTGGGTGAATCACCTGAGGTCAGGAGTTTGAGACCAGCCTGGCCAACGTGGTGAAACCCTGTCTGTACTAAAAATACAAAAATTACCCAGGCATAATGGCGTGCACCTGTAATCCCAGCTACTCAGGAGACTGAGGCAGGAGAATTGCTTGAACCTGGGAGAGCGAGGTTGCAGTGAACCGAGATTGTGCCACTGCACTCCTTCCAGCCTGGGTAACGGAGTAAGACTCCGTCTCAAAAGAAAAAAAAGAAAAAAAAAAAAAAAGCTTATGGGTAAGCTGGTTGGTAAATGGGGATATTCAGGATGCTGATAATACGATAATAGAGGCACCTAAGAGGCAAAATGCTGTCAAATCCCTTAGTTGTATTGCTGTGTGTTCAGTGTGTGACATTTTGTTGTGTCTTGACTTTTAAAAAATTGCAGTAGTAACTATTTTCCTTTTGAGAAAATTACTTGCCAAATACTGTCCTACCGAAGCCGTCTTTTCTCTGAGTTTTTTATTTTTGCATTTGCTTGGCTCACTGCAACCTCCGCTTCCCTGGTTCAATCAGTTCTCCCTGCCTCAGCCTCCTGAGTTGCTGGGATTACAGGCGCCTGCCACCATGCTCAGCTGCTTTTTGTATTTTTAGTAGAGACAGGGTTTCACCATGTTGACCAGGCTGGCTCAAACTCCTGACCTGCAAATTAAAATTATTAGTGTATTTTAACACTAAATATATTTTTTGGCCATGTGATGTGAGTTAAGGATCTTAGCAGTGGTTTTAAAATTGCTAAGAAGTTATTCCAATACCATTTATTGAATAATCTTACTATTTTTTATTGATTTTTGACATGATATAACTTTATTGAGCATTTATTGTGTGCCAGGCACTATTATGTATTGTGTTTATGTGTATTGTCATTTCATCTGGAGAGTAATGCTATTTGGTAGCTGCTATAATTGACCCCATTTTAGAGATGAAGAAACTGAGACAGAGTTTAACGGATTTTCCTAAACTCACAAAGTTACCCAGTGATGGGGCCTGGGTCTGACTCAGTTGATCCTTCTTCCTTATATCAAATGCATAAATAACTTTCTGGGAGGAAGTATCTTTATCTCTCCACTTTCCCCCAATTAGTACTGTTGCTTATAGCTTTGTATATTTCAATATATAGGAAGGCCAGTTTTGCCTTATTACCTTTTTCCTTCAGATAACTTCAGTAGTCTTTGTGGACTTACAGAATAATCTTGTCCTGTTGCCCTGACAGTTGGCATTGTTACTGATGTTAACATTAAACTCATTAATTTATGGAAAGTATTTACACCTTTATATTCTTCCTAATAAGGAATATACTATGTAAGTTAATTGAAGTTACTATTTTTAATTTGCTGCATATATGAAGATCATTTCTTGACATTTTGATTCTTCATATGTCCAGCATGTTGCCTTTTCTACAATACCCTGTTTACTTTTATGGGAAAAAGATATGCTGACTTTATTTATTTTTTTGAGACAAGAGTCTCGCTCTGTTGCCCAGGCTGGAGTGCAATGGTGCAATCTTGGCTCACTGCCTCCTGGGTTCCAGCTATTCTCCTATCTCAGGCTCCTGAGTTGCTGGGACTACAGGCGCATGCCACCACTTCTGGCTAATTGTTGTGTTTCTACTAGAGATGAGCCTCCACCATCTTGGCCAGTCTGGTCTATTTATTTGTGTTTTTTTTTTAGAGACGGAGTCTTGCCATGTCGTCCAGGCTGGAGTGCAGTGGTGCGATCTTGGCTCACTGCAACCTCTGCCTCCCGGATTCAAGTGATTCCCCTGCCTCAGCCTCCTGAGTGGCTGGGATTACAGGCGCATGTCATCACGCCTGGCTAATTTTTGTATTTTTAGTAGAGACAGGGTTTCACCATGTTGACCAGGCTGGTCTGAAACTCCTGACCTCAGGTGATCCACCCACCTCGGCCTCCCAAAGTGCTGGGATTACAGGCGTGAGCCACTGCACCCAGCCGATATGCTGAATTTTTTTTTTTTTTTTTGGAGACAGAGTTTTGCTTCTGCAATGGCGTGATCTCAGCTCATTGCAACCTCTGCCTTCTGGGTTCAATCAATTCTCCTGCCTTAGCCTCCCGAGTAGCTAGGATTACAGGCGCGTGCCAGCACGCCCAGCTAATTTTGTATTTTTAGTAGAGATGGGGTTTCACCATGTCAACCAGGCTGATCTCAAACTCCTGACCTCAGGAGATCTGTCTGCCTCAGCCTCCCAAAGTGCTGGGATTACAGGCATGAGCCACTGTGCCTGGCCGAAATGCTGATTTTAAAACGAAAGTATGAGGCATGAGGCCAGACACTGTGGCTCATGCCTGTAATCCCAGCATTTTGGGAGGTTGAGGTGGGCAGATCATTTGAGGTCAGGAGTTTGAGACCAGCCTAACCAACATGGTGAAACCTAGTCTCTACTAAAAATACACACACACAAAAAAAGCCGGGCATGGTGGTCTGTGTACGTAATCCCAGCTACTTAGGAGGCTGAGGCAGGAGAATTGCTTGAACTGGGAGGCAGAGATGGTAGTGAGTTGAGGTTGCGCCACTGCACTCCAGCCCGTGTGACAGAATGAGACTCTGTCTCAGAAAAAAACAAACAACGAAAACGAAGTATGCAAAGTGACAAGACTGCTGACGAGTTTAGGAAATAATAAGTAATATTTTAGGCCAGTTCTATGCTAACTAGATTTTGTTATGTGGGGCAAATTATTGAACTTCTCTATGACTGTCTCCTCATCTGGCAAGTGAATTACGTCAAATTCTGTTTCATTCTTCCTATTCTTCCTTTTCTGTTAGGCAGTAGAATATGGCATAATCAGATGAACAGATGTGTTTAGATTCAGTCTAGATTCACTATGATCTTTCACACTACTGGCCTGAGCTGCAGACTAAATACCTTTCCTGTCTTCTTGATTTACAGACTTCTGCCTCCGTTTTCCAAGGGCATTTTATTCTTTGTAGACAGAGTATGCTAGGTTTTTGTTCATTGATGAATAAGCAAGCTGTAAGCTAGCCACTCTTCCCTCAGGCACTAGTTTTAGGGGTAGAAATAGTCCAGAGGAAAAAAAGCACTGGCAATATTAAGTTTTAGAAGTATAGCAAAGGTTACAAGCTTGAACTATAGAGATGTTTATTGTGACTTTATTGTTAAAATATGTATGCTAAAAAGTAATTTGTTGGAATATGGAGGTTAACATATGTTCTTTAAATATTGTGCACCCAAGTTTTTTCAGTCATCTTATGTTCATTTTACTTTTCTCAAACTGTAGAGTTGCTGATTTCTAAGTTTTTGTGTGATTTAGTTGTAGTTACCTGATTCTTTCTAAACGTGTTGTAATCCTGGTTATTTCACAAGTGCCATAATATACCTCAGCAACTTAGAACTAATTCTGCAAACCTTTTCTACAGAATTTAAGGTTTTATTCATGTGCATGGCATAGAAGATGAATTCTTCCACCTCCACCATGAGTGAAGAGCCTGATGCTCTGTCAGTAGTTAACCAGTTACGGGATCTAGCAGCAGATCCATTAAACAGAAGAGCCATCGTCCAGGATCAGGGATGTCTGCCTGGCCTTATTTTATTTATGGACCATCCCAACCCTCCAGTCGTCCACTCTGCTTTGCTTGTAAGTTACCTTTAGTAATTTCAATCTCTGTTTTATTTTTGCAATTAAGGAGATAATTTGGAAAAAGTGCTAGATGACATGGTAAAAAAACTGAAAGAGAGCAATTAATAGTTTGTATTTATGTATGTACAAACATATGTATGTGTGGTCTGTTTACACCAATAGTAACATGCTACATTGTTTTTATTCTTTTGTTTGTTTGTTTGTTTGAGACAGAGTCTCCCTCTGTCATCCAGGCCTGGAGTACAATGTGGCAGGATCTTAGTTCACTGCAGTCTCCACCTCCTGGATTTAAACCATCCTCCCCCACCTCAGCCTCCTGAGTAGCTGGGATGATAGACGCATACCACCATGCCAGGCACATTTTTGATATTTTTGTAGAGATAGGATTTCGCTATGTTGGCCAGGCTGGTCTCAAACTCCTGGGCTCAAGTGATCCTTCCACTTTTACCTTCCAAAATGTTGGGATTACAGCTGTGAGTCACCATGGCTGGCCCTATTTTTATTCTTTAATACAAACTGTAGCATACTCCATGCATGGAATGTTCTACCACTTCCTTTTCATTTAACAATCTTGAGGATTGGATCATATCATACACATAGACACCCAAAGAGGCACTTACTTTGTTTTTATTTTATAACAGCTTTTTAAGATGTAAGCACACAGCATCATACAATTCACTCATTTAAAGTATACAATTAAGTAGTTCTAGTATATTCACAGAGTTGTGTCACCATCACCACAACTTTTTATTTTTATTTATTTTTTGTAACTAATTTTTTTTTTTTTTTAGTAGCGATAGGATGTAGCTGTGTTAGCTAGGCTCGTCTCAAACTCCTGGCCTCAAGTGATTCTTCTACCTCGACCTCTCAACGTGCTTAGATTACAGATGTGAGCCACTGTGCCTGGACCACCACAACTTTTTACCTATTGCTTCCCAGACCCCCCAACTCCCTATCCCTAAGCAAACTATTAATCTACTTTTTGTATGTTTATATTTGCCTATTCTGGCAAAAATGCCTATATATTTTGCATATGAATAGGGCCAAGCATGGTGGCTCACGCCTGTAATCCCAGCACTTTGGGAGGCCGAGGTGGGTGGATCACCTGAGGTCAGGAGTTTGACACTAGCTTGGCCAACATGGTAAAACCCCGTCTCTACTAAAAATACAAAAAAATTAGCCGGGCGTGGTGGTGGGTGCCTGAAATCCCAGCTACTCAGGAGGCTGAGGCAGGAGAATCCCTTGAATCCAGGAGGCAGAGGTTGCAGTGAGCCAAGATTGTGCCGTTGCATTCCAGCGTGGGCAGCAAGAGTGAAACTCCATTTAAAAAAAAAAAGTTGTTAAAATTAATGTTATGGGAAATTAATGTTATGGAAATTTAATCTGTTGTCCTTTACTTAAGGACTCATGATAAATTCCCCATTTAGTCTAATTTCATAAGTTTGTACAGAAGGCATATAGGCTTTTCCTTTTGGAAAAGTTTTTCTATTTTGCCTTTACAGAATGAAGTTTAGTAGTCAAAAAAGACATTGGTATAAAAGAACAGTAGTAACAAATGGGAAAAATGGCACAGCCCCCAGTCTGGGTTCTATTTCAATAAGAAATGCAATAAGGATGAGAAGAAAGAGGGGGTTGGTCTATAGATAGGGACTTGGGGCTAAAGGAAGTCTTTTTTTTTTTTTTTTTAAATAGACTAGAACATGTCTAAATTCAGAGGGCAAGGGCTACTAGAATGGGAGAGGTTTGAGGGGAAGGCTCTCATAATTGCAGAAAATAGGAAAGATTTGCTAATGATAAAGTAGTTCAGCAGTGTTGAGGGGCTGATTAGTTTGGTAATACTGAATCGGTATGATTCAGGCCTACTATAGGCTCGGAGAGCCAAGTAGTTGGATTTGTGCAGAGTTGTTACTTGGCCAGGTTACGTTGGGCAGAATGATTGTGCAAGGGAGTTTAGGGTCTTGGCAGGATTGTTTGAAATGATATACAGTAGGTACTAGGCTGAATAAGGAAGGGAAGTATAAAGTCATGGAGGGACTGAGCTAAGGAGAGGGATCTATGGGTGAAAGTTGCCAAGAGGCTGAAGAAAAGATTTTGTTGTTGTTGTTTTTTCTGTTTTTGAGACAGAGTTTTGCTCTTGCTGCCCAGGCTAGAAAGCAATGGCGTGATCTTGGCTCACTGCAACCTCCGCCTCCTAGGTTCAAGTGATTCTTCTCCCTCAGCCTTCTGAATAGCTAGAATTACAGACCCGCACCATCACACATGGCTAATTTTTATATTTTTAGTAGAGATGGTTTTTCACCACGTTGGCCAAGCTAGTCTCGAACTCATGACCTCAGGCGATCTGCCCATCTTGGCCTCTCAAAGTGCTGAGATTATAGGCATGAGCCACCACGCCTGGCCATCAGGTGTGTTGTTTTGTTTTTGTGATTTCCTTTTTTTGTCACTGTTAGCTTATTAGTGTACACTTTTGTTTTTATTTTATTTAGTGGTTGCTGTAGGTTTTACAATATGCATCTTTAACTTATTACAGCCTACCTTTAAATGAATCCTACCCTTAACGTGTAGTGTAAGAATCGCACAAGAGTATATTTCCATTTCTTCCTCCCATCTTTTGTGCTATTTTTGTCATACATTTTACTTCTACATGTTTAAAAACCTACAGTGTATATATTTTTGCTTTAAACAGTCAATTATCTTTTAAAGAGATTAAAAATTTAAAAACACCTTTTTTTTTTTTTGAGACGGAGTCTTACTCTGTCACCCAGGCTGGAGTGCAGTGGCACAATCTCAGCTCACTGCAACCTCTGCCTCCCGGGTTCAAGTGTTTCTTCAGCCTCAGCCTCCCTAACAGCTGAGATTACAGGTGCACGTCAGCATGCCTGGCTAATTTTTGTACTTTTAGTAGAGACGGGGTTTTGCCATGTTGGCCAGGCTGGTCTTGACTCCTGAGCTCATGTGATCTGCCCGCCTCAGCTTCCCAAAGTACTGGGATTACAGGTGTGAGCCACCATGCCTAGCAAAAAAAGGTCTTTTATATTTACCTTCATCTTTATGTTTCTGGTGTTCTTTATTCCCCAATATAGATTCATTTTTGTTGTTTGGGTTTTGTTTTTGCTTTTGTTTTGAAACAGGGTCTCGGCTGGGTGTGGTGACTCATGCCTGTGATCCCAGCACTTTGGGAGATCACCTAAGGTCAGGAATTCGAGATCAGCCTGACCAACATGGCGAAAACCCGTCTCCACTAAAAATACAAAAATTAGCCAGGCGTGGTGGCCAGCGCCTGTAATCCCAGCAGGAGGCTAAGGCAAGAGAATCCCTTGGACCTGGGGGGCGGAGGTTGTGGTAGGTCGAGTTTGTGCCACTTCACTCCAGCCTGGGTGAAAGAACAAAAACCCCATCACAAAAAAAAAAAAGAAGAAAAAGATTTTGCTCTTTTGTCTTCTGGCATGTATGGTTTCTAATAAGAAAACTGCCGTAATTCTTGTTCTTCTCTTATATAATGCCTTTTTCTGGCTTCTTCTGGAACTTTATTAGTGATTTTCAGCAAATAATTATGATGTCTTTGATATGGATGGTGGTTTTTTTTTTTTTTGAGATGCAGTCTTGTTCTGTCGCTCAGCCTGGAGTGCAGTGGTGCGATCTCGGTTCACTGCAACCTCCACCTCCTGGGTTCAAGCCATTCTCCTGCCTCAGCCTCCCGAGTAGCTGGGATGCGTGCCATCATGCCCAGCTAATTTTTGTATTTTTAGTAGAAACAGGGTTTTGCCGTGTTGGCCAGGCTGGTCTCAAATTCCTGACCTCAAGTGATCCACCTGCCTTAGCCTCCCAAAATGCCGGGATTATAGGCGTGAGCCACCCAGTGCCCACCTTTTTTTTTTTTTTTAATTTTTTTTGAGACTTGTGAATAAGTTAGGAGCCTTCATTTCAAAGAGTAGGTCGGCTGTTATAGCTCAAAGGATCATTTCTTCCCTAGGGAATAATTCTGAATCATCACATTTAAAGGATTTTATTCTAAAAACAAAAACCTATTTTCTCTTTTTTTTTTTTTTGTTTTCTTGCAATAAGTTGGTAGTAATTTCAATTTTGAATAGTCTGGACAGACTAATTAACTTATTACTGTTTCTACTGTAGGCTCTTCGATACTTGGCAGAATGCCGTGCAAACAGAGAAAAGATGAAAGGAGAACTGGGTATGATGTTGAGCTTACAAAATGTTATACAGAAGTAAGTACAATAGACAGTGTCTCATTTATTTACATACATACTTATGTTACTTACTTAAAGGGCCTCACTGTGTTGCCCAGGCTGGGCTCAAGCGATCTTCCCACCTTGGCTTTCCAAAGTGCTAGAATTACAGGCATGATTACTACTATTATTGGATTACTATGTTTTAATGTCCTATAGTTAACTGTTTTTAATCATTTAGCTGGCTGAGGGAGGAGAATTGCTTGAACCTGGGAGGTGGAGGTTGTAGTGAGCTGAGATCGCGCCATTGCATTCTAGCCTGGGCGATAGAACAAGACTCCATCTCAAAAAAAAAAAAAAAGAAATTTCAATTTTAGGTAGAGAAAAATTACAAATTATTCAGGAAGTAGTTTATTACTGTAGGAAAATGGTAAAACTGCGGAACTATAAAATGGTGCTGGTGGGGCATTTAATATTTCATACATGCAGGACATGGTGGCTTATGCCTGAAATCCCAGCAATTTGGAAGGCCAAGGCAGGCGGATCACTTGTGGCCAGGAGCTCAAGACCAGCCTGGCCAACGTGGTGAAATCTCGTTTCTACTAAAAATACAAAAATTAGCTTGGTGTGGTGGCATGTGCCTGTAATCCCAGCTATGCGGGAGGCTGAGGCAGGAGGATCACTTGAACCTGGGAGGTGGATATTGCAGTGAGCTGAGATCCTGCCACTGCACTCTAGCCTGGGCAACAGAGCAACACTGTGTCCCAAAAAAAAAAAAATGTATATAACCATTGTTGCTAATCTCTCATCTGTAATTGCTTTGTTTAAGTAGACAGAAACTTGTGTGACTCTCTAGATACAGTTTTGTAGTAAATTCTTTTTTTTTGTTTGTTTGTAATTAAAATAGTGAGAGTAGCCCCAGTAGCTATACTGGCAATTATAAGCATGCATACCCCCACTTTGCACATTGTTCATATGAATATGAATACTTGGCTATTTCTCCCCTCATCCTGTTGCTGCTAATGTGGAAGCCACTAGAACTGGTTTGTAAGAGAAGCCCTAAAGCCCTAAGGAATCCATTGGATATAATGGATTATCTTCTGTGCAGTGTATCTGGAATGGTTTCACCTCTATGCTATCCTTGGAGTAATTGAAAAAATAATAACTCAGGGTTTTTTTGTTTGTTTGGTTGGTTTTTTGAGACAGGGTCTCACTGTGTTGCCGAGGCTGGAGTGCAGTGGTATGATCATGGCTCACTGCAGCCTCAACCTCCCAAGCTCCAGCTCTTCTCCTACCTCATCCTCCCAAGTAGCTGGGACTACAGACATGTGCCATTATACCTGGCTAATTTTTAAATTATTTTGTAGAGACATGGTCTCACTATGTTGCCTAGGCTGCTCTCCTGGGATCAAGCAGTCCTTCTGCGTCAGCCTCCCAAAGTGCTGGAATTACAGGCATGAGCCATCACACCCTGCCCAGATAGTTGTTGTTGTTTTTTTTAATCGAACTAAATTCTTTTACTGGACCTCAGTTCAGAAAGGGTGCTAGAGAAGTGGTCAGAAGGATAGAAGCAGTGATTAACCAGGAAGAGGAGGGCTGGTTTAAGGATGATGACAGCAGAAGCATCTTCCTTTTTTTCCTGAAGCGGGTCTAGTATGGTAATCAATAGCAACATGTGGCAATTTAAATTAATTAAAATTAATGGCAGGGTGTGGTGGCTCACACCTGTAATCCCAGCACTTTGGGAGGCGGGTAGATCACCTGAGGTAAGGAATTCAAGGCCAGCCTGGCCAACATAGTGAAACCCCATCTCTTCCAAAAATATAAAAATTTAAAAATTAGCCAAGTGTGGTGGCGGGCACCTGTAATCCCAGCTACTCAGGAGGCTGAAACAAGAGAATCTCCTGAACCTCCTCCAAGAATTCTCCTCCTGAACCCAGGAGGCAGAGGTTGCAGTGAGCTAAGATCGCGCCACTACACTCTAGCCTGGGCGAGAGAATGAGACTCCCTCTCAAAAATAATAATAATAATAATAATAATTAAAATTAAAAACTCAGCTCCTCAGTCATATCAGCCATATTCCAAGTGTTTAGTCATGTCACTAGTGACACTATTTCCATCATCTCGGAAAGTTCTGATGTACAGTGCTGCTCTGAAATTTTTCTTTTCTTGTCTTTTTTTTTTTTGAGACTGGGTCTCACTATGTCGCCTTGGCTGGTGCGACGTTAGCTCAGTGCAACTTCTGCCTTACAGGCTCAAGTAATCCTCCTGCCTCAGCCTCCTGAGTAGCAGGGAGTTAGGCCATCATGTCCTGCTAATTTTTTTTTTTGTTTTGTTGTGGGTTTCATTCTGTTGCCCAGGCTGGAGTGCAAGCAATATCGTGATCTTGGCTCACTGCAACGTCTGCCTCCTGGGCTCAAGCAGTTCTCCTGCCTCAGCCTCCCAAGTACCTGGGATTACAGGCGCCCACCACCATGCCTGGCTAATTTTTGTACTTTTAATAGAGACAGTATTTCACCATGTTGGCCAGGCTGATTTCGAACTCCTGACCTCAGGTGATCTGCCTGTCTCAGCCTCCCAAAGTATTGGGATTACAGGCGTGAGCCACTGCTCCTGGCCTTTTTTTATGTTTTGTTTTGTTTTTTGTAGAGATGGGATCTCGACATGTTGCCTAGACTGGTTTCGAACTCCTGGACTCAAGTGATCCTCCTATCTCAGCCTCCCAACATGCTGGGATTACAGGTGTGAGCCACCATGCCCAACTGCTCTAAATTTTTTTTTTTTCCTTTTCGAGACAAACTCTCATTCTGTCACCCAGGCTTGAGTGCAATGGCTGTGATCTCAGCTCATTGCAACCTCTTCCTCTTGGTTTCAAGCGATTCTCCTGTCTCAGCCTCCCAAGTACCTGGGACTACAAGTGCATGACGCCACACCCAGCTAATTTTTAGTAGAGATGGAGTCTCACCATTTTGGCCAGGCTGGTCTCGAACTCCTGGCCTCAGGTGATCCACCTGCACTCGGCCTCCCTGTAAGTGCTGGGATTATAGGCATGAATCACCACCCCCAGCCTGCTCTAAAATTTCTTTGCTTAACTGCATCTAGGGCTTTTTTTGTGTTTTAGATTATTTTTGTTTCATGGACTATTTACTGGCGAATTACTAAGTCAAAGATGTAAATATCTTTGTCTTTGTATCCCTGTTGTTTTCAAGTAATACCAATGATGCTTTTACCAGCAGTTACTTTTTTTTTTTTTGAGATGGAGTCTTGCTCTGTAGCCCAGGCTGGAGTGCAGTGGCGTGATCTCAGCTCACTGCAACCTCTGCCTCCTGGGTTCAAGCGATTCTCCTGCCTCAGTCTCCCAAGAAACTGGGACTACAGGTGCCCGCCACACCTGGCTAATTTTTTGTGTTTTTAGTAGAAACGGGATTTCACCGTGTTAGCCAGGATGGTCTTGATCTCCTGACCTCATGATCCGCCCACCTCGGCCTCCCAAAGTGCTGGGATTACAGGTGTGAACCACTGTGCCTGGCCTGACAGTTCCCTTTTCATTAGATTTTTCCAAACGTTGGAATAGTTTCTTCACATCATAGTTCTCCTATCCTGTTTAATTTGAAATCAACTTTAAAAACAATTTAAACATCTCCGTTGAGACTGATAGAAAATGGATGGTTTGGGTGGGGACATAATTCCACTGAAATTGATTTGGAAAACTTTTTACTTGGGTTTTTCTGGTGAGACACTTTAAATTAGGTTCTTAAAGGGATTAATGGCTGGGCGCTGTGGCTCATGCCTGTAATCTCAGCACTTTGGGAGGCCAAGGTGGGCATATCACGAGGTCAGGAGTTCGAGACCAGCCTGACCAACATGCTGAAACCCCGGCTCAAGCTCCTAACCTCAAGTGATCCACCCACCTCAACCCCACAAAGTGTTGGGATTACAGACATGAGTCACTGCACCCGGCCTTGTTTTTTTTTGTTTTTTTTTTAAACTTAAATTCATAAGTTTCTCTAATCATTGTCTTTTCATGCCCTTTATAACTTGTACTTGGCTGATATTTAAAATATCTGAGAACTTCAGTGACTTTTCAATAAACTCTAAAATAACTATCAATAAAAATGCTGAGACAACTAATACAAATTAGTCTTTTTGATAGCTTCCTGTAACACACAGTTAAAGTCACCAAAAGTAACTTATCTCTGGTCAACAGTGGCCCAGAAAAGCACCTGATATAGTAATTGAGTGTCTGGAATACTGTCAGATTATCACCCCTGGAATTAAAGCTCTCAATAGCTAGAACATATACAATCTGAATATCAGAAAATGAAGTATTCTTACTCATTCAATAAATAACTTGCAAACATTTTTGTTAAGTTCTATGGAAGGTACAAAAAGGATACCTTCCTCCTCTTAAAGAGTTCATATACTTATAAAAGAAATAGAAAATTAAGATCAGTAGTATAAGTATAAACATAGTACTCTGAATGCAAAGGGAGAATTGGGTTATTAGGTAGAGGCATTATATGGAAGGTGTTGGTTAAGCTGAGCCTTCAAATGTTGAAATAAGAGTTGGAAAGCCTGCAGTCTGGGTGAAGCTCTTCCAGCTAAGGAAAGGCCTGAACAAAACTTAAGGGTAGAAAGCACTCGAGAGCAAAGAACATATAAAAGTGCATGGTCTTTGTAGGAGATGGCCAAGTGTCATAGTCAACCCAAAGAATAATAGAAGGACAAAATGAGCTGGTGGAGATAGTCAGATTTTAAGGCCTTGAGTGTACATTAAAGGGTTTGGGCTTAGTTGAGCCCATTGATAGGTGAAATGAGGATTCTTTTCTTATGGTTACATGTACTTACTCTGTTCAGTTGTCCAGTGTGGTTAGCTACTCACTCTGTTTGGCAAATTAATTAAAGGTCTATAAAATTTTTTTAGTTGCACTGGCCACATTTCAAGGGCTCAGTAGTCTCATGTGAGCGGAGAGTGCAGCTATAGAACATTTCTATGCATGTGAGCGGAGATAGAACATTTCTATCACTGCAGAAAGATTATTGGACAGTACGGCCCCCTAGATGTTGATGTGAGGATCTCTAGTAGGATTTAAAAGCTTAAGAATGAAAACTTTTGTTAGAGCTTTGGTTTTATGATAAATACATAATTTGTAATATGTTAAAAAAAAGTAAATTAAAAAACAATTGGTTTCAACATACAAAGAAATCTTGAAATTAGTTGATAGTATGAATGATCCTATTCCAATTTGGTTTCTCCTTTTGGATTTTTATATGTTGTATTTTCTTAAAAGTCAAGGTACTTTCAAATTGAGAGTTGAATGTTAGTGATAATACAGGAACATATTACAGCCTGATCTTGTTAGTTGATTTTGTATTTAATTATTTTTATTAGGCTTTTTTTTTTTTTTTTTTTTGAGATGGAGTCTCCCTCTGTCGCCCAGGCTGGATTCCAGTGGTGTGATCTGAGCTCGCTGCAACTTCTGCCTCGCGAGTTCAAGCAATTCTCCTCTCTCAGACTCCTGAGTAGCTGGGATTACATGCGTGCGCCACCACACCCAGCTAATTGTTGTATTTTAGTAGAGATGGGGTTTCACTATGTTGGTCATGAACTCCTGACCTCCTGAACTCCTGACCTCAGTGATCCACCTACCTTGGCCTCCCAAAGTGCTGGGATTACAGGCATGAGCCATCGCGCCAGCCAAATGTGTTTTTATACCTCTATAGTGATGGATTTTGAATCTCAATGAACCACGAGTTTAAAATGAAATTAGAAGATTGTTATAGACAAGATGCTTTTTCTACATTATTGAATTTTCTAGGATTCACTGCTATTGCTTTTAAATTGAACAAAGCATTAGAGTGAAAGAAACAAGGCTCCTTTTAGTGGAGAAATAAAATTACAGAATCAGTAGAAGTGACAAGACTAATTATATATGTGTTTCTTTTCAAGAACTACAACTCCAGGAGAAACAAAACTTCTGGCCTCTGAAATCTATGACATTCTTCAGTCCTCCAATATGGCAGATGGTGATAGTTTTAATGAAATGAATTCACGTCGAAGGAAAGCTCAGTTTTTTCTGGGAACTACAAACAAACGTGCCAAAACAGTGGTTTTGCATATAGATGGCCTTGATGATACGGTAAGGTCTGTTAGATGGGAAAGAGAAATCATGTTACTTGTTTCTTCAGTGTCCCTTGCTAACAGTCTTTGAGAATAAATCTCGCTATCAGTATTTTACTAATACAAAGGGTCATTTTGTGCTAAAGAGGTCAATCATAGGATATAAGAATTTAAAATATTTATGTCCCTAATAATAGAACATCGAAATATGTGAAGTAAAACTTACAGAAATGGGGAGAAATAGAAAAATCCACAGTTAGAAACAGAGATTTTTAACACAGCTCTCTCAATTAATACAGGAAGCATACAGAAAATCAGTTAAGATATAGAAGACTCAAATAATACTATCAACCAATTTAACCTAATTTTTATTTTATTTATTTATTTTTTATATATTTTTTGAGATGGAGTCTTACTCTGTCACCTAGGCTAGAGCACAGTGGTGCAATCTTGGCTTATTGCAACCTCTGCCTCCCGGGTTCAGGTGTCTCTCCTGCCTTGGCCTCCCGAATGGCTGGAATTACAAATGTGCGCCACCATGCCCAGCTAATTTTTGTATTTTTAGTAAAGATGGGGTTTCACCATGTTGGCCAAGCTGGTCTTAACTCCTGACCTCAGGTAGTCTGCCCGCCGCAGCCTCCCAAAGTGCTTGATAACAGGGATGAGCCACCGTGCCCAGCCCAAAGCATGTTCTTTGAACACGGTGAATGCAAATTAGAAATCAATAACAGAAAGGTATCTGAAAAATTTCCCCCAAATTTGTGAAAGTAAGTGACACATTTCTTTTTTTTTTCCTTTTCTTTTTTCAGGGACAGGGTCTCGTTCTGTGGCCCAGGCTGGAGTGCAGTGGCACAATCATAGTCTACTGTAGCCTCAAACTCCTGGGCTCAAATAATCTTTCTGCCTCAATCTCCTGAGTAGCTGGGACTGCAGACATGTGCCACCGTGTCTGGCTAATTTTTAAGTTTTTGCAGAGATGGAGTCTTGCTGTGTTGCCAGGTCTTAGACTCCTGGCCTCAACCAGTCCTCCTGCCTCAACCCTGCAAAGAGCTCGGATTACAGGCATGAACCACTGCACCTAGCTAAATAGCACATTTCTAAAGTAATCTATGAGTCAGTAAATAAAAGAGAAATTAGCATTTTGAACTGAATAAAAAGGAAAGTGAACTGAATAAAAAAGTGTAGGCCAGGCGCGGTGGCTCACACCTGTAATCCCAGCACTTTGGGAGGCCAAGGCAGACGGATCATGAGGCCAGGAGTTTGAGACCAGCCTGGCCAACATAGTGAAACCCCATCTCTACTAAAAATACAAAAATTAGCTGGGCATGGTGGTACACCTGTAGTCCCAGCTACTCGGGAGGCTGAGGCAGGAGAATCGCTTGAACCCAGGAGGTGGAGGTTGTGGTGAGCTGAGATCACGCCACTGCACTCCAGCCTGGGCAACAGAGTGAGACTCCGTCTCAAAAAAAAAAAAAAAAAAAAAAAGTGAAGAAAGTGTAATAAAAATGAAAGTGATATATACATGAAAGTGTAGCTGAAATTTGTTGGAAGTAGTTAAACGATGTTTAAAGTGGAAATTCATTAGCTCCAGATGCATAACTGTTTATATACAAAAAAGAAAGGGTATCAAGTCAGTGACTTAAGCTTCTATCTTAAAAAAATAGAAGAAACTGAAGGGAATCACTGGATCCCAAGAGTTCAAGTTTATGGTGGTCTATGATTGTGTCACTACACACTCCTGTGTAGGCAACAAAAACCCTGTCTCAGAAAAAAAAAAGAAACTAGAAAAAGAAGAGCAAATTAAAGCCACAACAAGCAGAAGAAAAGAAACAAGAAAGATCCGGGAAATGAAAAACAATAGAGAAAAACCAATGAATTCAAAAGCTGGTGTTTGACATGATTGTTAAAATTGGTAAGCCTCTAGTCGAACAGATCAAGAGTAAAAAAGTCATAAATTATCAATATCAGAAATGAGAGAGGATGCCACTATAGATCCTACAAACATCAAAAGGATAAGTAAGGGGCCGGGCACGGTGGCTCACGCCTCCGTAATGCCAGCACTTTGGGAGGCTGAGGCAGGCGGATCACTTGAGGTCAGGAGTTTGAGACCAGCCTGGCCAACATGGTGAAACCCCATCTCTACTAAAAATACAAAAATTAGCCAGGTGTCATGGTGCAGGCCTGTAATCTCAGCTACATGGGAGGCTGAGGCAGGAGAATCGCTTGAACCCAGGAGGCAGAGGTTGCAGTGAGTGGAGATCATGCCACTGCACTCCAGCCTGGGCGACAGCAAGACTCCATGTCAAAAAAAAAAAAAAAAAAAAGGGTAAGTGAATATTTTAAATACCTTTATGCCAATAAATTTCATAATGTAGATGAAACAGGTTTCATGAAAGACACAGATGACTGAAGCTCACTCAAGAAGAAACAGATGACCTGATTAATTGTATATCTACTAAATAAATTGAATTTGTAGCTAAAAATCATGCCATAAATAAAACTTCAAGCCCGGATAGAAGCATGTTTTCTAGTGTCATTGGTTTTAAAATTTTTTTTATTTTTGTTTGAGACAGGGTTTTGCTCTTGTTGCCCAGGCTGGAGTGCAATGGCACAATCTCGGCTCGCTGCAACCTCCACCTCCTGGGTTCAAGCCTTTCTCCTGCCTCAGCCTCCCAAGTAGCTGGGATTACAGGTGCCCGCCACCACACCCAGCTATTTTTTATTTAGTAGAGACGGGGTTTCGCCATGTTGGCCAGGTTGGTCTCGAACTCCTGACCTCAGGTAATCCATCTGCCTTGGTCTCCCAAAGTGCTGGGATTATAGGCATGATCCACTGCGGCCGGCCTTAAATTTTATTTTGTCAGCCTGGTGCAGTGGCTCAAACCTATAATCCCAGCGCTTTGGGAGGCTGAAGCAGGTGGATCACGAGGTCAGGAGTTCAAGACCAGCCTGGCCAACATGGTGAAACCTCGTCTCTACTAAAGATACAAAAAATTAGTGGGGCGTGGTGGTGCACGCCTATAATCCCAGCTACTCAGGAGGTTGAGGCAGGAGAATCCCTTGAACCTGGGAGGTAGAGGTTGCAGTGAGCTGAGATTGTGCCATTGTACTCCAGCCTGGGCAACAGGGCGAGATCCTGTCACACACACACAAAAATGTTTATTTTGTCTATATTTTTAGTTGTTTAGAGGCTAAATCTGGTCCCTGTTAATCCATCTGGACTGCAACTGGAAGTTCCCCTGAAGTTACCTTGCACAGAGATTATATAACTTTACGTATTTAGGGGTAGCAGTTGGTAGATTACCACTTACCTCTTTAGCAATGCCAGGTAGGTTACATTAGATTATTCACAGCTTTTTTCTGTTGTTGTTTTTTGTTTTTTTTTTTTTTTGAGACAAGAGTCTCACTCTGTCCCCCAGGCTGGAGTGCAGTGGCGTGATCTTGGCTCACTGCAACCTTTGCCTCCCAGGTTCAAATGATTCTCCTGCCTCAGTCTCCCGAGTAGCTGAGACTACAGGCGCCCGCCACCATGCCCATCTAATTTTTGTGTTTTTAGTAGAGACATGGTTTCACCATATTGGCCAGGCTGGTCTTGAACTCCTGACCATGTGATCCACCTGCCTTGGCCTCCCAAAGTGTTGGGATTGCAGGCATGAGCCATTGTGCCTGGCCCACAGCTTTTTCTAGTTGTGTTTTAGGTGCTTAGGCTCAGGATTTGGGGTTTAGTAAATAAGCTTGAGAAGAAACCTTCCTTATGCATATTATCAGAGCCAAATCAGTCCACAGCTATCTTACTGAAAGTGGGATCACGAGACAATTTCTAGAAAGCAAGTTCTGATAAAGATAAATTGATTCACTGGAAGATCTTAAAATATATAAAATATCTCCAATACCATGTATTTAATTTTAATGAATAAGAATAATACAGTTTCTTTTTAAAGCTAGCACAAATCAAATAATAAAACCCAGCAAAGCACACACAAAAATATAGGCTAGCCAGGTGTAGTGGCACATGCCTGTAATCTCAGCTATATGGGAGGCTAAGGCAGGAAGATCGCTAGAGCCTAAGATTTCAAGACCAGCCTAGTCAACATAATGAGAATCTGTCTCAAAAAAAAGAAACAGCAGAAACCAAACAAACAAACATATAGGCCAATGTATAGTAAAAACATGATTGTCAAAGTCCAAAATGAAATATTAGCAAGTTAACTCTAGTACTGTACTATCGTGTTAACATGTTTTTGGTGACATAGCCTAGCACTAGTGATAAGTTTATTCCATCGATTCTCTCATTCAGTTCTGACAAACAGCACAGAGAGATGTATATCTTTTTTCTTTCTTTCTTTGTTTTTGAGACAGTCTCACTCTGTCGCCCAGGCTGGAGTTCAGTGTGACACAATCTTGGCTCACTGCAACCTCCGCCTCCCGGGTTCAAGCAATTCTCCTCCCTCAACCTCCCAAGCAGCTGGGATTAAAGATGCCCACCACCATGGCCCGCCAATTTTTTTGTATTTTATAGAGACGGGGTTTCACTCTGTTGCCCAGTCTGGTTTTGAACTCCTGACCTCAAGTGATCTGCCTCCCTCGGCCTCCCAAAGTGCTAGGTTATAATAGAAGGGGAAGTTGAGTTTAGAATGGTCAATAACTTAACTGTTTGCTCCACCTATGTAACTTTAGCTTAGTCAACATTTTTTGGACTACTAGGTAGTGTGACTTCAGAATTGAACTTTTTTTTTTTTTTTCCCCCAGACAGAGTTTTGCTCTTTTGCCCAGGCTGGAGTAAAGTGGCACAATCTCAGCTCACTGCAGCCTTCAGCCCCTGGGTTCAAGTGATTCTCGTGCCTCAGCCTCCCAAGTAGCTGGGGTTACAGGCACCCGCCACCACACCCGGCTAATTTTTTTGTATTTTTAGTAGAGACAGGGTTTTGCCTTGTTGGTCAGGCTGGTCTTGAACTCCTGACCTCAGGTGATCCACCTGCCTCGTCCTTGCAAAGTGCTAGGATTACAAGCGTGAGCCACTGCTCCTGGCCCAGAATTGAACTTTTAATCACAATATTATAATTTCCTAAAAACAATCTAGTTTTATCCTGGAGTTGTAAATATTATTTAACATAATGAAATATTTTAGTATAATATTAGTAAGTCAATAATTTGATAATTTGCTATTGATACTGCTGTAAATACAGAAAATCCAGGAGAATGATCTGAAATTTCTTAAAAATATTTTAAAAATCCAGTGACATTATTAAATATATGGAAATCAGTCACTTCTTAAAAGGAGAAAAGTAGTTTTACTCTCCCAAACAAAACAAACAGCTAGGAAGAGTGCAGGGATATTTTTTCTTTTTTGTTTTTTGTTTTTTTAAACTTAATGATCAGTGTGATAGTAGCAAGGCTATTCTTAATAAGAACATAAGAGACTCAATAAAAAAAATTAAATGTCCTCAGTGTTATAAGAAGACTGGAATAAGTGGAATGAAATGCCTGTTTCTGAAAGTTTGTAAGGATGTCAGTTCTTCCTAAATTTGTAGACTTAAAATAATGCCAATCAGTCTGATGATTTTGGAAGTTTATTTCCCAATCTAAAAGTTCACATGGTAGAATGTACTAATTTTTACAATAAAAGGGAGCACCTAATGTTAGGCATTATTTTAGATACGAGGGATACAGTGATGACCAAAAAGCAAAACTTTCTCCTCTCTTGGAGCTAGCATAGTTGGAGGAGGCAGACAATAAGCTTGCTAAAAAAGTGTGTTAATTTATGTTGAAATAAAGATAAATTAGACTTATGAATCTCGTTTCTCACTGTGGCATGTGGTTGGCATTTAGTACCAGACTCTACCTGTGGTAAATTAGGCAAGTTGTTTTTCTACTTTTTACTTTACTCACATTTGAAAGAAGAGATCAGATTAATAATATCCTAACTTACATATATTGTGCGAGCTTTACTTCACTTTTAAGTTTACCTGGTGTTGAATATGTGGACGAGATAAACATGGTGCTATTTGACACCAATCCTGTAAGAGGGCTTCACCAAATGCAGGCCCCTGCAGAGCAGGGTCCAGACACAGTGCTCTAGATGAGCCCACTGTGGGCCCGTGCTGTGCCACAGACTGTCGCGTCCCAGGCCTCCCTGAGTAGGGTTGAAATGCAGAAGTAGGGAGATGAGCAATGATGTGAGCAGTTGTTCTGAAGGATGTGGAAATAAGTTTGAAAACTGGATATAGTCTACAGACTTGGCACATGGGTCAATTGCAGATTGACCCCTCAGAAATATAAATGAAAACCTGTTCTCAATACAGAAATCAGAAAATGTAGAGTGTGTGATTTGGTGTATGTGGGCCAGAGGTGGAGGGAGCTATGAGGAGAAAATGCAGTTACTTTTTCCATTTTCTCTTTGGATCTTGTGTTGAGATGACCACTTGATGGTCAAGTGGATATGTCTGACAGACAAATGAAAATAAGAAAGTCATATTGGAGTTAGTAATGTTAGTGATGGCTAAAGTGATGAGAATAGTCTCCTGAGGGTTGAAGCAGAAAGAAAGTCAGTGTAGGCACTGGACTTTGGAGTTAAGGTGAGACAGAGCTGGAATAATCAGTGGGGAAGTGGAAGGCCAGGATAATGTAGTACCCTGCATTGAAGCATTGAAGGGTACATGTTATATTGTGTTTTGAAGAGTATTAGGAAAATGAGAACCACATAAAGTATGTCTAACCCTTGAGAATGCAATGGTAACCATAAGAATGCCATAAAGGAATGATGCAGTGATATTTATAATACCAGGTGATTTAAGGAATAGGGACTTAAACAGTGAATGCTCACTAATTCTAACTTCAGTCTATTAGAATTTATCCCTGGAGATTTTTAGGCTAGAGTGTGGATCATAAACCTTTTCTTTTCTTTTTTTTTTTTTTTTTTTTTTTTTTTGAGATGGAGTCTCGCTCTGTCACCCAGGCCAGAGTGCAGTGGCACAATCTCAGCTCATTGCAACCTCCGCCTCCCGGGTTCAAGTGATTCTCCTGCCTCAGCCTCCCGAGCAGCTGGGACTACAGGCACACGTCACCATGCCCAGCTGATTTTTGTATTTTTAGTAGAGACGGGGTTTTACCATATTGGCCAGGCTGTTCTTTAACTCCTGACCTCGTAATCTACCCGCCTCAGCCTCCCAAAGTGCTAGGATTACAGGCATGAGCCACTACGCCTGGCCAAACCTTTTCTTTATAGGACCAGAAAGTAAATATTTTTGGCTTTGTAGACCACGATGGGCTCTGTCATAACTACTAACGCTGTATTAGCATGAAACTAGCCTCAGATAATATGTAAACAAATGGGTGTGCTTGTGTTCCAATAAAACTTTATTTACAAAAACAGCTGGTGGACTATGGTTTTCCCCACCCGTGAGCTAGAAGAACCTCTGCTTTTCTGCTTTTTGGCATTTTTTCCCCTGTATTGTGTTCTGCTTTATTTAAGATGTAAATTAACCTTGGCTAACTTCTTTCTGATTAAAAAAATTATTAAAACTGCATATTAGTATTGAAGCTTTAAAAATTTAGGAATTACTATTCTGTTGATGTTGTAAAATTTAAAAAATTTGACTAAGCACTCCCCCACTCTGTGCCCTGAAATAAGATGGTAAAACTGAAATAGGTCATTTGCTGCCTTCCCCCCTCCAAAATATAACTTGGTTTTAGCTGATTTATTACCTTTTATTTACCTATTTTCATAACAATTTGCTTTTACTTTTTCAGTCTCGGAGAAATCTATGTGAAGAGGCTTTGTTAAAAATTAAAGGTGTTATTAGCTTTACTTTTCAAATGGCTGTTCAAAGGTGTGTGGTGCGAATCCGTTCAGATTTGAAAGCTGAGGTAAGTATTTTAAAATGCTTAATATGTTTGAGATTACAGGTAAACAATTCAGTTTCAAAGTCGTTCCTTTTTTTCTTGACTTAGGCTTTGGCATCAGCAATAGCATCAACCAAGGTTATGAAAGCTCAGCAAGTTGTGAAAAGTGAAAGTGGAGAAGAGGTAAAACTTGTATTTAATTTTCTTTATATCTAACTCACTCTCAGTTATTTTTTATGGCTAGCAGATTGCCAGTATTTCTAAATTAATAGTGCCAAGTATGTAAGGATGTGCTGTTTCTTGGTTAACAGTTAACTATTTTAGAAATATAGAGAGATCTTTTGTGGATATCAGAGTCTGCTCTTGCCGATTTTTACATGGAAATAAAGGATATGTGTCTTCCTTGCATTTATTTTTAAATACTTTCTTCATAACCTTAACTAATTTTGACAATCCAAAAAATAAAGGTGTATCCACTGAGCAAGTAAATAGGGTGAAAATCCTTGTATCTTGCTACTCTCTTCACTAGCTTTGTGATGGGGGAAACAAATATGCCTTGAGCTCATTTGGGTTCCCATCTCATAGATGGGAGGTTCCATGGCTATCCAGTGGCCTGCAGTGGCTAGACACTTGCTTTAGTCATTATTACACCGAGAAAAGTTGCTCATTTACTCCTAGAATTTCAGCAGATCAGCTTCTGAGTTCTTACTTGTACTCTGCTTACTCCTTTCTGTATTGACGCTGCTCAGCAATTGGGCCTACTGTCATGGAAGAGGAAAGTTTACCCTGAGAATAACCATGGTAATTAGAATAAGGAGTAAAGTTGATTTTGTAATAACTGTTAATATTTTCTGTATCAGATGTTGGTCCCATTCCAAGATACTCCTGTGGAAGTAGAACAGAACACAGAGCTACCTGACTACCTGCCTGAGGATGAGAGTCCCACAAAGGAACAGGACAAAGCGGTGTCCCGGGTTGGCTCACACCCAGAAGGTGGAGCTAGCTGGCTGAGCACAGCTGCAAACTTTTTATCCAGATCATTTTATTGGTGACTTCACTTTGGGGCTCAAGGACTGTGTGAACCAACAAGGGGCCAGTTTTCCATTGCTGTGGTGAACTGTCAAGTGCAATTTGCAATAAGTTATCATGAAAAGTTTTTAGATTACATGATTGCGTATGCTGCATTTTACATTTTATTGGACATTTTACCCCACTGAGTGGTAAAAAGGACAGAGGCTACGGATGGAGTTGCTTTATTATGAAAGTATTTTGGTTTTGTTTTCTTTCATTTAATTGCCTCATATTTAAAAACCATGGGTCCACTGTTAAAACACACGTGTATGTGCAGCTTTACATTTTATTTTACATGAAGCACGTGATTAGGAAAACTCGTTTTCTCCTCAAGCCTCAGGACCTACCTGAAGAGAAGTTTTCTTGTAGCTCAAGTTGTGCATGAATTACTGAATATTTTACTGTGCTTTTCTTCATGAAGGATACATACTTTGTACTCTTCACTGAAAGCTGGAAACATTTCTTGTTACCCTCTTTTGTGCCTTTTTATTTTGCCAACCATGTTTATAGAAAGGACATTACTAACGACATTTTGCAAAGTAAAAACATTCATTTGAACATAGTCCCCTAGAAAAACAACTCTACAAAAATTTTGCAGCCTTATTCATTATAATTTTAATAAAATTAACACAAAATCAGTCAAGAAGAAGGAAACATGTATATTAGCGAAGTGTTTTTGGAGACTATTTGAATGTGACCAAATGTGGTTCTGGTTGACTTCTTTTCACTTTGGCTTATATCAGCTCTTGAGAGTTAAGTCTGATCATGATATTGCAAACAACTGTAAATGGTCTCTAGGCCTTACTTTGTGATTATACGTTATCTCCTGCTAGAAAAAGATAATGTAGTAAAGAACTGACAAACTGAAAAAAAGAAACAAAAATCAAATGCCTATAATACCCTAATGCCACTTTGGTATAGAGTCTAACTTTAAAACATGAATTGCTCGACAGAATTCTATTCAGTAGGTGTTTCTTTGTATTGCCTTTTGTGAATTTTTTATGAAAATGCTGCAGTTGTGTTGAATGAAAAAGACCCAAATTATAGCTTATGAAGAAATAAAGCCAGGATTGATCACTTAATCCTGTTTCTCATGTCCAGCCAGAAAAAAAGAACTTCAGTGAAGGTAAGATAAATAAATAATACACATATAATACTTTTTTTGGTAGTTAAGTGCTAATTACATATATGTAATACTTTATTAAATTTCTGAAATATTTGGTAACTAAAATTTTCTTTTTTGGAAATTAATAAATCTAGATACATATTAATGTTGATATGACTAAAAACAAGAAGAAACTGAAATTTCTTTTCATCAACATGTAGAGCTGCTATTTTACTATTTGGAGAATATGATGTGAAAATTGGACCCCAAAAGGTTTCCTTGTGTTTTCATTGTAAAATACCATCATCAGTGAGAGTCTTGAGGTCACTAACATTATCACCTTCTGGAGAGAGAGTTACTGGAGGCATGGAGGATGATATTTTTTTTCATGTGTTTGGTTTCTCGTTCAAGTGACACGCACAAACAAAAAAAAACACACAAAAAAACAAAAAAAAACCCACAACTTTCAGGGCACCTATTGCTCTAAATGCATAATATAACTTGCTGCCAGAACCAGATGTATTGAAAAAAGAAAATAAAACCACCTTCTTTCTATAGCCATTAAAGCAAAGTTTACTGTTCTAACAAATTTGTATTTTATTTTGCATTGCCACACATCTGCTTATTTAAAAACTACATCCCTTTGGTAGTAATGTTTCAGGACAAGTAGGTATTACTGCTTGATGTTTGTGTGTTCTAATTCTAAGAGTTCTTTATTCCAGATCATATAGAGCAGTTAAGGCAACTGTAACAGCATTTTTTGAAATACATTGTAAAATAATAAAAGGTAACATAATTAAAATTGAGTGGATATTATATACTTGTGGTATGAGTGGATATTATATACTTGTGGTATAAGTATTGATTATTTTTAAATTTTATTTTAAGTTCTGGGATACATGTGCAGAATGTATCATAGGTATACATGTGCCATGGTGGTTTGCTGTACTTGTCAACCCGTCATGTATGTTTCAAGCCCCTCATACATTAGGTATATTTCCTAATGCTCTCCCTCCCCTTCCCCCCACCCCCCTACAGGCCCTGGTGTGTGATGTTTCCCTATGTTGATTACTCTTAAGCCTGTGTGTACACACATTGCCTGGCACACTTTCCCAGTTCCCTGCAGTTGTGCCACCTGACTAATTCCCACGCATCCTCCATTTGTTTCCTTCCTGACACCACACCTGCCTCTCCCCAGATTGGATCACTGCTCCTGTGCATATACTCATTGTAGCATCTATCACATTATATCAAAATTGCATATTTACCAGTGTCTCTTCCCTACTAAGCTCTCTGAGAAGAGAATCTTTCTTTTTTAAGTTTTGCTTTGCATTGACACATAATATTTGTGCATATTTATGGGGTACAATAATGATGTGAGTCTTCACATTAACATTGTAGCTGTGCCTGACTTATAGTAAATGCTCAGATATTTTTTAGGGGAAATGAGCAAAGTTTTTTAAAAAATCACTAAAACATAAACATACTTGTTGGGCAAAAGGAAAAATGTCATATGTATTTTTTCTGGGCATGCTTATTTCTGACATCAATATTTAACACATTTCAGCCAGACACAGTGGCTTGTACCTGTAATCCCTGCATTTTGGGAGGCCAAGGTGGGGAGGATTGCTTGAGCCCAGGAGTTTGAGACCAGCCTGGGGAACATGGTGAAACCTTGACTGTACAAAAAAAAAAAAATTAGCTAGCTGTGGTGACAAGTACCTGTAGTCCCAGCTACTTGGGAGGCTGAGGTGGGAGGATTGATTGGGCCTAGAAGATTGAGGCTGCAGTGAGCCGTGATAATGCCAGCCTGGATGACACAGCGAGACCCTATCTCAAATAAAAAAGCAAATGTCTTCATTTATTTTGTCATTTGGTTTTTATTTTTAAAAAATGGGAGGGGGCATAATATTTGCTGCATTGAATGGAGCTAGAATTATCCTGATTCTTACAGAATTTTTACAGGAGAAAATGATATACATAAAATAGTGGTTTTTATTTTCTGTTTTATAACTGATAAGCTGTGTGATCCTAGGCAATATTTTAACTTCTAAACTTTTTTCATTAGTAAAATGGAGATGATTCCTCTGCCTCATGGGGCCATTATTAGGATCCAGTGAGAAATGAGTGTTTTGAAAACTAAAAATTTACCGGTGTGCAGTGGATTTATTGTTACTGGAAGTTTCTCAAGTGGTAACCCTTTTTTTTTGTTTTTTTTTTTTGTTTTTTTTTTAAAGACAGTCTTGTTCTGTTGCCCAGGCTGGAGTGCAGTGGTGTGATTTTGGCTCACTGCAACCTCCGCCTCCAGGGTTCAAGCGATTCTCATGTCTTAGCCTCCCCGGTAGCTGGGATTACAGGCACCTGCCACCAAGCCTGGCTAATTTTTGTATTTTTAGTAGAGACAGGGTTCCAGCCTGTTGGCCAGGCTAGTCTTGAACTTCTGGCCTCAAGTGCTTTGCCCTCCTTGGCCTTCCAAAGTGCTGGGATTACAGATGTGCGCTACCTCGCCTGGCCTTCAAACACTATTCTAATCATGCTTTATCTGACTCCTCATCTTCCCGTCTTCACACATCCAATCAGAGAGTTTTTGTTTTTTGAAATTTTTACTTATTTTTATTTTTTTTAGGCTTAGGCATCTGCTCTTTGATTTTTATCTAAATTTTCTCCCTTGGATAATTCATTTATTGTCAGGATTTTAATTACCTTTTTGTAGATAATTGCTAAACCTCCACTGTACTGTCAATTTTGATTGCACTTTTTTTCCTTTGCAGTACCTATCAAATGTAAAGTCTGAATTTTAATTTTTGTTAGAACTGAGCTCATGGTAGGCATGCAATAAATTTTAACAAAAATGAATTCTGTGCCATGTACTATGCTAATGCTTTACAAATATTTATTCACTGAACCCTAAACCACTATGAGGTAGGTACTCTTAAATCACAGTTTTACAGATGGGGAAAAACGAGACAGATTAAGTAACTCATTGGTGCCAGGTTATGGACCTAGTAAGCGGGGAAGCCAGGACTCAAACCTGGGCATTTTGGCTCCTGAGTCTGTACTCCCCCAGAAGGCAGCCTGCATCTTCTGTTCCCCCTCTGTGCCTTTCCAGATTTACCACCACCCTTCTAGTCCAGACCCTTTGGCTTGTATCTGGTCTGGGGACTTAATTCAGGTACCTGTTAGCAGTCAGAAACTCAGTGTCTGGAGACCAGAAAAGTTAAGTATATAAAAGCAATAAGCCTAGTCAGGTGACAGCACAGGAAAACACAGCACCTGTCTAAAGGAAACCACATTATCCTCATATGGGTGGCTGGCTTTGAGAATGCACAGCTTTTGGACTTTAAGGCTCTTCCAGACCCATCAGACACTACCAGAGCCATATAAGATATGCCTGTTGGCCAGAAATAGGCTACTCTTCTTCCTAGAATGGCCCATTCTGTTATATCAGTTTCATCTTAATAGTATTTTCATCATTTTCAGCTCTAATGTCAACAAAAGCCTATGGACTGAAGTTTAGACTGCTTTGTGCAGCATCAAAAATACCCTGAGAGTTTAGTCGCCAGCCTAGCCTTTCACAGTTTTGCTAGGATTAGTTCAGACTATGGAAGGCACAGTTGTATATCTCATTGTTAGAATAATAGTCTGCTTTATTTAGCCTTGCCTATTATAGCATAAATATTCCATATTCATCCTACCCTCTAGATCTTTTTTGTAATCTTTTCGGGAATTTCCTCCTTTATACTCTTCTTTAAAATATTTTGTTATGAAAATAAGCTCAATATATTACAGAAATGCATAAGAAAGCACAAACCACCTGTCATGTCACAACATAGATAGTCTAGGTAACTGTGAACATCTTGTTTCATTTTATTTTCATTTATCTTTTTACAATTTTTTTTACATTGGCAACATTTTCAAAATAGGCATCCAGAACTGGGTGTGGTGACATGTACCTGGAGTCCTAGCTACTCAGAAGGCTGAGGCAGAAGGATTGCTTGAGTACAGGAGTTCAAGTTCAGCCTGGGCAACATGGCAAGACTCCATCTTGTAAAAATAGGCATCCAGGGTCGGGCGTGGTGGCTCACACCTGTAATTCCAGCAGTTTGGGAGACTGAATTGGGCAGATCATCTGAGGTCAGGAGTTCGAGACCAGCCTGACCAACGTGGTAAAACTCCATCTCTGCTACAAAATTAGCCAGGCGTGGTGGCACATGCCTGTAATCCCAGCTATCGGGAGGTTGAGGCAGGAGAATTGCTTGAACCCAGGGGGGCGGAGGTTGCAGTGAGCCGAGATTGCGCCATTGCACTCCAGCCTGGGCAACAAGAGTGAAACTCTGTCTCAAAAAAAAAAAAAAAACAAAAAAAAAGGCATCCAACGGAAAGTCCTGCTTGTCTTCTTTTGAACCTTAGTTATTGGTTCCTCTAACCAGGGACAGCCATTTTTACTAATTTTTTATGCCCATCAGAGAGATTCTACAAATTTACTAACTTTTTCATATTTTTTCCCCATGCAAATGGTAGTGTGATATCCTGCACCTACTTTTTTTCCCTTAAAGTGTATCTTAGAAGTTACTGTATATTCATGTATAAAGCAGCTCCCTTCTTTTACAGCTTCAAAGTATTACACTGTATTAATGTTCCATGATTTATTTAGTGCTTTGTAATCTTTTACTCCTAAAAAAATAGTGCTGTATAAGTATAGCTGTAGGAATGATTCCTTGATGTGGAAATGGGCCAAAGGCTAGGTTTTTAATTTTGATAGTTCTTGCCTCCTCAGAGAGTATTCCAGCAAGGTGTGAGAGTGGTTCCCCTCAACTTCTCACTGTGTTATCCCATGTTGGCCAGGCTGGTCTCAAATTCTTGACCTCAGGTGATCCACCCGCCTCAGACTCCCAAAGTGCTGGGATTATAGGCGGGAGCCACTGTGCCCAGCCTTAATAACTTTTAACACTACTTGAGCACTTACTATATCCCACACTATCTATTGGACCTTTACTTGTGTTATTTCCTTTAATTATTACAGTGGTCCAGTGAGCTGGGCTTTTTCTTACCCGTTTTACACAGGAAACTAAAGCTTAGAAATAAGGTAACTGGTCATATCACCCTGAATGTGCCTGATCTTGTCTGAAATAAAGTAACTGGTCTTAAGTACACTTAAAAACTAATCAGTGGCAGGGCTGGTATTTAAATCTCAGAGGTCCTTCTTACTGACCTTTTAGTCTATTGCCCAAATAATTGCTGTGAATGAGAGTGAGCCCAGGTTGAGAAGCATGATTTAGTTCTTGCACATTTAAGATTTTTATTGTTTTTTTTTTCTTTTTGTATTCTTTTCAACATTTTCAGCATTTTTCAACATCAGCCATTTGATTTTTTCTACTCTTCTGCTTATAAGCATTTAATGGCTTACTGTGTCAAGTCTAAATTCTTATGTTTTCAGGAATCACCATAACCTGCTCTCCTTTCCTGTGAATTGACCTGACACTGTTATTTTTACTTAAATTGACATCTTTAAACTTCAGTAAAATTTGCATTGTGTGCTTGGGAGTCCACTCATTCTCTTCTCCTCAACTTAAAAAATTCTATCTGTTCTTCAAGAACTGGCTATTCCATGAAGCTGTCCACGTTTGTTTTGGTTCTTGCTGATTTATTTCCCAGTTGTTCAAACTTTTTCAGCACTTAAACAGTCTGCTGTATATTTAGCCACTGATTTTGTGTCATTTGTATCTTCATTCCTTAATGGGTTCATTATGTAGATTATGACAGCAGAGATCTCTTTCAAACCTTGTGCTTCCCCTTTTGCACTGCCCCCTTCCTTA